TCCTATGTTCTTACGACAAAACGAGTTTGAATGCTTTACAGGGGCTAGTATAACCCCCGTGAAGTGTCGTAAACCCTACCCCAATCCTAATTCCTTCCAATTCAGGCCGTTGAGTAGTGTCGCAAGAGTGCGGAGTTGGAGACGCGTACGCGGAGATGCTACTTGGCGGTCCTCTTGAAAACTGACTGCGACGAGACGTGACATGACATGACATATATGAATTAATGGAGGATTACTCCGGAAGTGTAAAGCGCTCAACGCCCCGCGGGGCTTGGATACGCGTTTCGTCAATGAAACACGCAAGTAATAAAAACTATTTGCAAAGGAAAATTATCAACAGATGTAGCATATTATTTCCGGAGCTATAGGTGAAGGAATCGACTTACTGCTGCGATAAAATGGATAACGATTAATCAAATATCTCCATTCCCGAAAGAGCTCAATAAAATGTACACAATGAAGCTTCATATATGTCCAGAAACAAAACAAGGGGTCATCTCACCATTTGCTCAAAGGATCAGGGAAACTGGACGAAAAATCATGGCGAATGCTGGTGCAGGGGAGGAATTTTGTGAAAAAGATGAAAGGCCACGCCTCTCCTACTTTCTGCGAAATTTTCACAATAAACTTTCTTACTTCTCTACATACTTTTTCCCCAAGATTTATAGCGACATAGCTCTGACATTGTGATTTCGTCTTGTGATTGGATTGGCACGCCCGCTTTATTTGGAAAGCGGTATTCGGCCGCTCGATATATACTGTGTATAGATTTGTACTTTTGTTTTGTGCCCAGAGTCTTCTAGAACACAACATCATGAATCATATTTTTTTCAAGAATGGAAAGTATTCACAATCAGCCTTACAGTTCAAGATACGATAAATGATTTTTGAATACCGTTCAACGTAGGAGAAATACAATTTTACACAATACACATGTGTATTTGGGTGAAGCTACTTAAGAATATATTTATAAGTAAAACTAGAAAACAACCCGAAATGGAGCTAGGTCAGCAAACCAACTCTTCAATTATATATCTTTAGGCATACGTCGCTTAATGTATTTTGAATTTGAAGACTTGTCTCCAAATACAATGAATTTATATTTTGCTTAAGCTCTTATTTTTCTGGATTAGGGACAGTTTTTTATAATGAGACTCAAATTCGAACCTGTTATTTAAAAAATGAAAATTTGAAAATAATAAACTGAACATTCGCAAATAATACAACAACTATTGAGACTTATTGTTCGTGTTTGGCGTAAAATATAATGATCGTAGACGTAAAAGTTTAAGACCGATGCTCGTAAGCAGTTAACAAAATGTTCCTGATCCTAACAAACTCTTCCTTTTTGGTGAAAAGAGCATAGAGATGCGTTTTTGGAACGCAATTGTTATAAAATGCTCAAGCTAATTTATATTTATCAAGTACATCTCTTTGTTTGTGCCTCATTCGATCACTCATTTACTCAACGCAGTTACGTGGGCTGTACTATGAGCCAAAAATGTTTGCCATGACAGCAATGTTACAAATTGAACGCGATTTTTGCGTGTTTTCGTATTTCTCCGGAACATTACATCAAATATTGGTAGGACTTTGGCCTATGGCAGATTGGTACCAATGGCAGATGTGCTTGAACTAAAAAAAATCATTTAAATCAGTTGATGGTTTACCAAGAAAATGAACATACCTGCAATATAACAGCGGCTTCAATTGATAATTTCCTACTTGTTTTGAAACCGGGTAATGAACGATTTAGAAGTAAAATGAAACGGTAATGTATATTTTGCATAACATCAGACACGTCTTTATCCCCAGTTCCAGTTCTATTCTTGGAAAATTCATAATGAAACGTGTAACTTGTCTCCGTATTAACAAAAGATTCAAAGGTCGAATATACCGACAGTAGAGCTTTGTCACTTTGTAGACTTTCTTTTTAACAGTCGTCACGTTTGCAGATAAAATAGGGTGCTTTGTCTTCGTTGCAAAAAAGGCAAGTCGACCTGTTACGACGAAAATGCGAAGGTACAAACTGGCATCACGTGGACTTTAAACCTAAATCCCCTAAATAGATATCGTGGTTTGTTATGGTTATGAAATAATGATCAATATTGATGAATTATTGATCCACAAGTGAGAAAAAGTTTCTCACATTTTTGTAGAATGTCAAAGGTCTGACGTCCATGGCACTGGTACGTTTCCAATTCAAACTTGAATTTTGGAAGTCTCCTTAAGGTATTACGTTTCATGCACTTCATATATAAAATAGAGTTAGAATTGTAGAATATTTATTGATCGATTGATTGCTACTGGCCTAATTAGTATATTCTTATACTTATATTTTATATATTTGTTATATAATAATACTGTAATTATTATTCATTAATACTGAGTTAATTTAGGGTTCTTAACTGCGAGACTCCAACGGGTATTGTCATGTTGACATTTTTTTGTGCTATTAAAGTTCATAATTAAAATAAACTTTAAAATATACGAATCCGTTCAACTTTGGGAATAGAAACTTACATAATGAATAATCAACAAAAATTAATATTAAAATATGTATATATCATTACAAAATGAGGTTTGATTTGTCTGATGAATTAAGTCGCATACAATTCATGTTATACTGAAATAGAAGTGCTAAAATCCACAGCGTTTGATCATTGTAGGTGCTTTCAAATTTCACAATACAATTTTTTTCTAAAATTCTTCCAGAATATTCTAGAAGCATCCAGCTAAAAACGATTGACTCATAACAATATATTCGTCTTGGTGAAAGGAATTGAATGAGCTATAGATTAGGTTCTTCAAGTTGCCTTAAAAGTTTAAAAACGCATTTTAAATGCTTAACACTCCCCAAACATTTGTTTTCGAGATTCTACGTATAATATTCTGGAAGGTTTCAAGGGTAGTGAAATGGTCAGTTTCCCTTAAATAATTGTTATTCTCCTGTATTGACTAAAAGTTGAAATTGAAGTGCCAGGCACTGAATAATAAGCTGATCGTGGGATGCCACGCTCTTCTAAATTACATAAATAAAACGGATATTTCACGTGAATTTCATCACTTGCACCTCAAAAATCTGGTGTTAGCAAATAGTGATCTGAAGTGCTTCCAAACGCTGTTATTGAATATTCAACATAGCACGCCCAAATTTCAATTTTGTTGCAATTCACTACGATGTAAATAGTAATAATACGAGTAAATAGACATTAGATCACTTCAGTACCTGTGAGCTTGAAGAGGAACCATCACTGTCAGGAGCCTCGCACGTGCCATCGCTGTCCATGACATCAGTCGAATCAGATCCTGTAGAGTTCACCATTGTGACAATGGCGACGGAGAGGTTGACACGGAGGGAGTAGAGGATGGCCATTCCCAGGAACCCCAGGAGGCCGAACACATACCGGCACTTCACAGCATCTGCAATACGAATGTAGATCGGGACCAAGAATTATATATAGCACCATTCTGGGCAGTTACGTTTTGGAATAATTATTAATAGACATTGATTGTAGAAATATAATTTAGAACATATTTAGTAGAGATGGTGGGTATTTATTATGTAAAACTGTATAGATTTTGCCACAAGAAAACAATAACACCATGAAAAATTAAAAGATACTCTTCGGAGCGTTTCCACACAGCCACGAAAAGCGGGTTTTCCCACCAGAATGAAGCAGCTTTGAGAACTTCAGTAAGACGTGTGACCTCCTCAAATACTATTAAAGATTCTATACTGATAATGACTGTTTGTGTAAAGACTATATGTATCTGACTATACTAAATGTACCCAATAAATAATGTAATATACCTGACTTCTGTTTGCAAATTGTCAGACCGTTGCACGAGTTCTTGTTGTATTTACGGTGACTGACCTCTTTCATACAAGTTGTAATTTTTCAAAACTCAAAATATGTTTAAGGAAATGTGTCTTTATCATGAACGTAACGTAGGTGGTGTTTTTGGAAAAATATTTATTGATAAATCAAGCTCTTTTTTGGCAGAGTCTCTTGCTTTTTAGTGTTCCGAGCATGCATAAGCAATTAACTCCATTTACGTATATTTTCGTGATACACATACAGGTACTTGATGAATGTATAAAAAATGTAACTAGCGAAAACCCAGTACACAACATCGCCATGAAGCGCAATGAACGTCAAGAGGTGTCTGATACTCTTGCTTTATAAATACGAGTACAAGCAACATTGTTCTGGAGTAACATAGACAATTCATTTAAAATAATGTTCAAGCATTCATTAATTAGTCACACGTGACAAGAGTTCAAAAAACCATCCACCGAGAATTAGAATAGTTGATCAGTCACGATGATCAACACTTCCACTCATGAATGAGGAAGCATTCGAAGTTGTTTGAATGGCGGCCGCGTTGGTTGCCGGCCAGGAGCCGAAATCGATTTATCATCAAAGTGTAAAGAGGACTAGAAAAATGCATTGTCTTGTGTTCCCGTGAAGCTTGGCTGATTTTTTTATGGAATGACGAGGTGATAAGGTGGTGGTGAGATTGGACAAGAACCATGTGCGGACCTATCAGACAGCAGCAAATTTCGGGAACCCGCACATTAATTGGTATTTTCATCTTTCTGTATTATTTTCATATAACTACAATCACAGATTCTAATGATAGAATACATTGAAACGGTCTTTCCTCTGTTTATTGTTAATTTTTCATTAAGAAAACAATTTTTTTTGTTTCTTGCAAACAACATTCACGTCATCAGCTAACAGAACTGCTCTTCCCTTTTGTAATGGTTGAGGACAACTCTTTCAGACCTATAAAAGAAGACGATAAGACCTAAGATAGAACTCTGCGGGCCCCCCGTGCTCAATTAGCAAATAATTTGGAAGATTAAATAATGTTGTTTCGTGCCAGTAGGGTATTTTTAATCTGCGTTCAATGTTTGAGATTCGACGATATCCAATCTAGAATACCTAAAAGGAATTTTAACGGAAAGAACGTAATTTTGAAAGCAAGTTATTGGGTTCTAAGACGTCGAAAGATTTCATAAGATATACAAATTTTGCAATTGATGCTTCATTTTGATCCATTGATGGAAACAACATCTTTAAGAACAAAACAAAGTGCCAGTTTCCATAGAATTTTATTTTCTAAATCCTTATGGAAAAGCCTACAAATGCATCGTTTTTTCTGAGAGAGCATACATTCGTATACAGAACTAGTGGAGCTTTCAACAGCACATACTTTTCGCAATTATTTACACATTTGCAAATTCGAAAATTTAGAGAGTTTAATGAAAATGAGACCGGCCGGTCTTTTATGCGTCTCTTTTTCTATTAGTGGAAAAAAATGAGAAAAAATTGGAGCAGTTTTTGGGAAAAGGATTGTTTTAAAATTGTATTTACTTCCAGCCCAAATTTCGCAAACTGCAGCTTTTCTTTAAAAATGTACACACATTTTTTAAAAGCTGAGTTTTTAGAACAGACATTGTCTAAGGTAAACATGTCTATCTTCAATTTTGTAGATTTGAAATATTAATTGATTGATTTTCGCAATACGAGGTTACAAAATGAGACGCAGCATAATATTTTTTTACAGTTCTTAATACATGAGGGAGTAAACGTAAAGGAAAAAATAGATGCTGTTTCAGCGAAAAAAATAATTTTTATTAAAAATAGCTTATATTTCCAAAAAATGCGCAAAACTACTCATATTTTGAAACATTGTTGATGACTTTATTTAAAGATCTGTCTGTAAGTAAACATATTTCGTTAAGAAAAAAGAAAAAAATATATATCTTCAATATTGTTTAGTTGGTAAAAGGAAGACGCGCAAAAAAATACTTTTGCACCTCTTACGCGTCCTTTACATATCCGAGCACAAAGTGTAATAAAAAGCTTTGATGCCATTTTTGAGGAAATTTTGAAAAGTTTTTGAGGCTTCATGTAAAGTACCTCAAAAATCAAAACATTCGTTTGAAATTCCCAAAGCCTCGAGTTTGTGCAGACCGACAGGGGAATATCAATTTTGAAGAAAATCCCCTGAAAGCTTTCAGCGCGAGTATTGACCACGGACGGAGAGGACGGAAGTTTTAACGTCAATCTATTTTCCGGTACAAAGGACGCACAGAAAATGGATTCAGCTACACCACATGTTGGAGAAGTCATTTACCATACATAGCAACAGGATTTATCCACTACCAGCCATGTTAAGAAGAGTTTTTCTGCTAAAAATTCGCTGTTTTCCGGGTCACTATTACATTATACGATTACATACACTTTCTCTTTTTCTAAGTAAGTGCAAGAAAGTAGAAATGTCTCTAATATTTTTGAGGAACTAACAAAAGAGAAATTTGTCGATAATTTTGAAATTTCCGCTTAGACACTTTTTTATAAAGTTGTTTAGTTTCTAATCTTTTGAAATATTAGTAAATATTCATGTCATAAAGAAGCATTGAAATATGAGTAAACGGGTGAGTGATGTCAGGGACCAGGGACTTTTTAATTTTTATTTCTCTTTATAGAAAGTAGTTATGCTCAATCCTTTAAAATTTAGAATACATCAGGGGCTTGTTTTTGACATTTGATTTGGTGCAATGTCAGTCTCACTTTCTTCCGCCCGCAACAACCTTCTCGGAACTTTCTAATCGAAACGCCAGGGTCGCAGGTCTCTAGAACAGCAACTGTCCTGTTGAAGCATCATGTGCTGCCAGACCACTAATTTAATTATTCTTGCTTGTGCTCTTACTTTCTTTTGCTTTTTACTAATGCATTTTCAGTTATATACATGAAAATCGATTGATTGCTGTGATGGTAGAAATGAAGTAACGAGTTCGCTTGTTTTTACAACGATGTTCTAATTCCTTGTGGTATCAAGTATAGCTTTTTGAGGAACGCGCGCGTTAAAGCGAAATAAAACACTGAAAATAAATTATATTTTTTACTTTGTTAACGGTATTATAAAATGCGTTCCGTGATTCCTGCAGCTAGTAGTGTGTATATAATTCCGTATTACCTTTAGTAATTAATCCTCACTTTTGTCAGTTTCAAGTCACTTGTGTCAGTTTTCAAGTTATTGATAATTGAAAGAATTTGTACATCCTGGTCGCTGTAACCGGTTTTTTTGCTATTATTTCATATGCAGACGTGGTTTTGTTAATTATGAATTGATTTATTTCTTTTTATAACATTTTTTCTTGTTGGAACATGTAACACCTTCGTTAAAAGAATGACCTAAATTGAGAAACTGCTGTTCTTAGCAAGATTTGCCAAGTTCTGAAATCTTGCAGTTTTGTTTTTCAATAATACCTCACACACGGATAAAAAAAGCCTAATTTACATTTTCAAGTATTCAAACGTAACAGAAAACAGGCAAAAACCAATAATCCTTTAATTTATTTAACGGATAATTTACATTCATTTTCTTATGTTTAATTATTTATGATCCAAATTCCAATTTTTCAGCCTGTTTATGAATAATAAATAATCCCCAGAATTATCATAAATTTCATATTAACATTCTATTTACTAATGTATGACGAACTATTCTGAAAAAAGTATGAAATAATTAAATTATGAATGAAAAATAACGAAACTCGAAATTAATAGAGAACTATTATCCGTTTGTAATTTCATTTTTACAACTTATTTGTATCACAGCTAAAAGGTCGTAAAACCACAGTCTGTGGGTAAGCACTTCGTGAAAAAACATGTGCGGGTCCATTATTGTTTTTGCTGATTTCCACCATAGATTAGGATAGTTATTTCTTAATTTTCAATCATTAGCGAATTTGTTCAAATTACAAAATCTATCATGGGTGTGGCCACTTAGAACCGTATTAACGAAACCATAATAACGATCGTAAATTAGTACTAACTATTGCAAATTAGTATAACTATAGTAAATTAGTTGTGCCTTCCTTCTCGCAAATCTTTGCAAGGACATACATTTTTTGTAAATATTATTCTAATAAAATATTAACTATGTTACTTAATTTACAAAATCACGAGTTGTTAAAAATATAAATTACTAAATCGAAATATTTTGTAGGAAATATACTGTATGTTTTTAATTTTTAATTTTAGTTGTTAAAAATATAAATGATATTAAATAGAATTATTTGTTGAAATTTACATTTTTCGATGCATGATTCCTTTTTATCAGTATTAAGTATATTATATTTTTTTATTAACCTACTACTTACTAAGTAATATCATTTCTTTCCGCATTTCAATTCGTTTTTTAGAAATATATATGAATTAAATGGTAAAATTTTCATATTTTTCCCTTCTGAATAGTCTGTCACTTCTAATGTTTCATTTTAAAAGATAATAAATTAAAGACAATTTAATTTTCCTCCACATAAGAAACTCAGTTTAAAGCAGATGGAACAAAGTAAACGTGCAGCAGAAAATCTTGGGTGGATCTAGTACAGTTCGCGTGAT